GACCGGGGAAGAGGACGCGGGCAGCCATCCCGGGCAGCACCATGAGGAACATGGGCAGGACTTTGAGGTACCCGCAGACGACGCAGCCGGCGCGGACGTGGGTCAGGGACCGACCGGCCAGACAGCGCTGAACGATCACCTGGGGGGGGGGGGGGGGGGGGGGCCCCCCCCCCCCCCCGGGAGACGCGGGCCCGGCCGAGGGGTTCCCCTGCGGCCAAAGGTGTCTGTTCACCCTGAAACCTACTGAGGGCAGGTAACGCTGCGACACCTCTTCCCCGGCACAGGAGGGCGTGAGGGGGTGCCCCCACCCCCTTGGCGAGCAGGGCACCCCAGCAGCCCAAGGACCACCCTCTTCACTCAGGGGGAGGCCCTGGCCAGTGCTACCCCCCCCCACCAGGCCCCGCCAGCCTTTCCCTGCCAACGGTGTCCCAGCAGGAGTCAGACCCACAGCTCAGGGGGATCAGCCTCTCATCTGGGGAGCAGCCCCCAGTTAATTACTGGGCGCCCTCCGGCGGGGGCCAGGGTGACTCAGCCACAGGCAACAACGACCAGCCCGGCCCCCGGGGGGGGGGACACCAGCCCACCCTCACCTGGGTCCCCAGAAGGGACAGCCCCCCCCCAGCAGGGCCGGGGGCACCCTGGGCTCGCTCGGTCTCCACCCCACCTGCAAGACAAAAAGGGTCGCCCCTAAAAGAGAAGATTGGGGGGTGGGGGGGGTGGGGGAGCAGGTCCCTCTCCTGCCCCCAGGCAGACCCCAAGGAGCCCCCCACACACAGGCCCTGCCACCTCCGCGCCCACAGGGAAAGCGTGGGCACAACTGGGGATGCTGGAGCTCACATCCGACCCGGAAAAAAAAAGCAAAAAAAAAAATAAAGTATTTACAAATAATTCCAGGGTGAGAGTACTTACCTTGGCCTGGGGGTGCCAGGGAGGCTGCAGCCGGGGGGGCAAGGGACAGGGAGGGGAGGGGGGGCGGCAACAGCGGCACACGGGGCGTTATTTAGCAATGTTCTTTTATTTCCAGTTTTAAGGTGAAAAGATGCCTTTAAATCTTCAATTAAATACTCCATAAAGAAAAAAAAGCAAAAAAAAAAAATTATTTACAAATTCACGTGACCAGTAATTGAATCCTTGTTTTAATAATTACACGTGCGGCTCATCACATCCGGCGCTCTATAAATACAGGGGACGCGGA